TAATTTTATATGAGAAAGATCTGGTATGGAAAATTTAGTCCTAAAATAAAATGACTGGTTGTTCAAGAAGGATGATATTCAGGAAAAACCAGAAAGTTAAAACGTGTCATGAATGGTCAATGTAAGTCACAATAAGAGGATTTTAAAAAAACTTCAATATTATCAAGTTGTCATATTATTACTAAGCTTTGGTTTGCTTAGAAAAAAATATTTTCTAAGATAAATATTTTTAAAATTAAGGTTATTACATCCACGTATCTTCCTGTATGTGTTTTTAAAGTCCTTGTGACATTGAGTTACAACAGGGCTTTGATAAAAAGGACAAGTCTTGTTAAATATTGGTTTAAAAATTGTTAAACACTGACAGCAATTAAAGCCTCACCCTCAGGCTCTGTAGAAGATGACAATCAAAATAACTGCATTACTGAGACACAGAGAAAGAAATTAAAGTTATTCAACTCCTCAAGGCCTAGGGACTATATAGCAGGAGGAGTGGGTACATACATTTTAAGGGTCAATTTTGGAAAATAAAATAAGTTCAGTTTCTCTGTAAATTAATCATTAACATCAAAGGCACACTGATGCAAGACAATCATATGGGCCCCTGCATCAGATTAACGAGGTTTTCTTGAAGAATTAACCAACTCCTTATTAAAGGTTAGGAAAGGCTTATGGACATGATTAAAATTTTATAGATTGTTTATAAAATTTTGAAAGACAAATTTAATTGGCTTCATGCTGTTTTTATTAGGGCTTATTGTTTGGAAAATTAAGTCTTCTCCCTCAAATAATAAAAGTTTTCACCTTTCAAAAAAATCCCTGAGTAATCACTTTAGTTACATGAATGACTTATTTTGCAATGACCTGTAATCCTGTTTTGTGATATCAAGTGTTTAAAACATTTGATATTTGACAAACTTTCCAAAATCAAATAATAAATTACATGTTTTCCTGAACTAATTAATTCTTTAAGATATTAGGTTCACTGAAGTTGAAAAAATAACGTAACTTGGCTTATTTGGTACAAAAATTATACAGGAAACATTGTCAAATATGAAATGATGTTGGGTTTTCTTTAGGTTATATTTGTATAAATATGTTATTGGTATATGTTCCAAAATTATGGGAAGCTCCTATAATTCTGATATAACTTAGTGTATATTATCACCAATAATCATAATTGTTATGTTAAAATTTTTGTGTGACACAGAGGAACAAATTTCCTTGTCAACCGTGTCTTTGACTATGGCTGCCCTAAAACTTTTTGTCATCCACAGACGATTGTTTTTTGTTTTGGTCGTCTTTATAGGGGTGGTTTTATAATCAAATTATAGCTGATTATAAAACCACCCCCATAATTTTATAGCTGATTATAAAACAACCCCTATAAAGTTATCAGAAATGCAGCTTTCTGATAACTTTGGTGATATCAGAAGAGAGGAAAAACATTCAGGACCCATGGAAAACTAAAATGTTCATTACTCTCAAGCACAACAGGAAATAACTGCATAGACTGAACTAATCTTTTTGACTTTTTGCTTAAAATATTTGCTGATCCTCCATTTTATTTTTCAGAGTCTTAAAACTTTTCTTTTGACCTACTGACAGTTTGAACAATTTAGTATACTCCTGTGAACAAAATTTGGAGCATATTTGTTTCTGTCTACCTCATTTATCCAGAATTTGGAAACTTTGTATTTTTAACTTATGACAATACAGTTATTTGCATAAGTGAAGTACAAACCTGCTTTCATTTGTAATAGGACACAATTGCAGAAACTGGTTATTTTACCAAGGCTTTAACTGGAATGGTGTGCTTTCCTTTAGGGAATCAGACTTGACTTACGGAGCCAGTAAAGCTCTTGGAAAAACTGGCTTCATATTTTGTTTACATAGTCTACGTACAGGTATCTGACCTGCGGTAAGTAAAGACTGTCACTTTCTGACAGGTCCAGAAGCCCCAAGTTTATTCTGGAACCTCAAAAGGAGACAAAATTAACACAACTCATAGTGTCTGATGGTAAAGCCACGGCTGGGATCAGCTTTAAAAAGTCTTTTCTGACATTCCTCCTACGGAAAAAGTTCCATCAAAGCTAATTTAAAAGCCCATGTAAAAAAATTATTCTTGCTGCACTGTATACAAATAATTAAGCCAAGTATAATAAGGCAAATCAGTCCTACCATGGTTTGTCTTTAGTAAAAATGGGAAACTGGAGAGAGAGAAAAATATGTTTCAAACTATATTACACCTGTTGTTAGATTCTATGTTGCCTAATGTCTTTTTAAATTTTCATTATTTTCTCCAGTTTGAAGAAGCAAATTCTGATTTTTCTTGGCTACAAGTCTTCAAAATGATATTTCCTACTTTTTAAATTTGTTTCAGTTTTTCCTAACTTGGAGTCACTGAAAACTAAGCTGTGCGTTCTTAAATCCTTGCAAACTAAAGCCAGACAACTTAACATTTCACAAGAAAATAACAGCAACCTATTTAAATACATAAGCCACTTTCATACCTACCTACTAATATATTGTCTTCAGAGTAATATAGATTTTATATTATATATAAATTTTTTATATATGATTTTTAGATCCTATATAGATTTTTCCAGGATTGTTCTTTTGCTTTTGTTTTTCTGCCTTTCTCTCTCATTTTCTATTCACAGAACATGAAACTTTAAAACCTGCTAAATATGAGCTTTTGGAACATACCCATCTAGGAATAAACTGTTCTAACCATGAGAGATCAGATGAAATGTCAGACCAGAGACTCACTTTCTCCTAAAATGCTTTCTTCAAAAGATTTTAAAAAAGAAAAGTGGGGAAATGTGAAAAGAAAATATCTTGGGTCCCTTCAAGCTGGGGACCATTCAGGGCAAATCTGCCTCCCATTCTATTCAAAGTCATTGCTCTGCTCAAAGAGATAGATGCATATTCTGATTGCTACCTTTGGAAAGACTTACTAGAAACCCAAGAGAATATAACCACTTTTCTCTCACCTACCTGTGACCTGGAAACCCTCAGTGTGTTGGGGACAGGGAGTGCTTTGCATTGTTCCTGCCTTTCTGGACAGAATTAATGTACTTCTTACATATATTGATTGATGTCTCATGTCTCCCTAAAATGTGTAAAACCAAACTGTGCCCCAACTACCTTGGGCGCAAGTTGTTGGGACTTCCTAAGGCTGTGTCATGGGCACATCCTTAACCTTGGCAAAATAAGCTTTTTAAATTATCTGAGACCTGTCTCAGATTTTCTGGGTTCAGTTGCTCACATTTCATAAATACTGAACAAATTTCCCACATTCTTCCATAACAGTTACTAGACTTTCTTATGTGTAAATATATGATATTAAGGCTCAGAGATACATCCTGGAGGAATGCTTAATTCATAATATAACATGTTTCTTTCAACACTTTCATTTGGCACATTGCAGGCCTGTTGTCAAAACAACCTTGTGTACCTTTTTCAGGTGTAGTAAGACCAGATATCCATAATGAAGTTTCAATCAATCAATCAATAGATAAATGAATTTAAATAAATCAATTAGTAAAAGGCATTTATTAAAGGGCACCAAGTAAAAAGGGTCAGGCAGCTTATGATTAAGACCAAAACTACCAGATGGCTTACACTAAGGGTTTTTAAGACTCAAAGGCAGAGAGTACACACAAATTTGTAAATCAGTAAGTGAATATATTGAGGTGACATATTGGTTTTGGCCTAAGAGAATGGCATAACTTGTAGTGGGGACTTACAAGACATGGAAGGATTCAAAGATTTTCTGATTTGTGATTAAGGAAGTGAAACTGTCTGAAAATTTGTGATCAGTAGAAAATAATGTTCAATCTGGCTTGCAGATGTAACCTCCTACAGACCCCTCAGGAAGAAACACAGAACAAAAAATGGTGGTCAGAGTCCATTCCATAGTTCCTCCTTACCTGAGGTCTATATGCTAGTGCATCCATTTGGTAGAAATCCTGGTTTCTGAGAAACAACTCAGGGTCATATGTTAAGCTTTGATTTTTAGTTTCTATAAGGAACCCCATGTTTTCATGACTCAATTCCTTGCTATTCTTTTAACCTATTATTACCTTCCTGCTATCAAGTGGCTCATTTACTTCTCATAGCTAGAAAGGTATCTGAAATTTCTGTGAAAGGATTCAAGATTTTCCTTTATTTCCATGGTTGTGGTGGTCCACAGGCTCATATGAGGGGTCCCTGTACCATCTCAAACCCTAAATAAATCCTTGTCTGCTTGTGGGACTTCTAAATTTTTTCTATTTTTCTCTTGCTTTTGTGTCACTTGCTGCTTTCAGGTGAGAAAATTCCTATTCAACCTTGGCTGATGAATACCATCTTCACTGGCCAAGACATTTGGATTACTATTTATATATAAATTATGTCAGAGGTGCCAAAGGTTCAGTATAAAATAATACACATCAGTTGATCTGTAATTATTTAATAGGAAGGTGGGTAAATTACCATGTCAACAAAAATGAAAATCTAGAAGACTTGCTAAAAGTCTTTAAAACATTAAGCTGGGTAAGAAAAGGATAAAAGATTTTAACATTCTCTCCAAGAAATTGTTAAAGATATATGTGCTGACTAAAGCAAAAGTTTTAAATTGGACTTTTAAAAATTTATCACTAAGAACTGAAAACAATTTTGAATGATTACTCCTCGAAGAATATAAAGAGCATACTTATCTATAGTATGGATAATCTATACAAAGAAATGTCATGTAGACATTTATGGATTGAGGTGGACAGAATAATGGTTTACAGTCAATGTCTGCAGCTACTGGGTAAAGGGAAAATCAAACAACGTGATGAAGTTCACATGGGAACATAACAAAGTGGCTGGCTCTACATTCAGAATAAGTGTTAGTGTTTTGCATATAGAAATTAATGATGTTTTGTGAACTTTTTGTGAATAGTGCAAACTTAGCCATAAAATACAAACTTTCACATCTCTTTCTAAGAATGACACTCAGCAAATTTTACCTTGTAGCTCCCAGAAGAATCTTTGTACTTCTTGTCCTATTGAACTAGTGGCATTTCAGGGAACATTCTAGAAAATGATAAAACAGAGAATATGTGACATCTGTCTTTTCTTTTCTTTTTTTTTTTT